CAGTGGTTCGGTCACTCAAAGACATTTTGTCGTGGTTCTGTGATGTGTGCTCGTTGTAGTGGCAAGGACCATCACTCCTACGAGTGCAAAATGGACCATCACTGTGTTAATTGTAGTGGTTCCCACCCCTCCTACTTTAGGTCTTGCCCTAAGTGGGTGGAGGAAAAGAGGTACAACGTTTGAAGACTCTAAATTACATCTCTTATCCTGAGGCTCGGAAGCTATTGTTCCCTCCTACATTGCAGACATATGCCTCTGCACTACACTCCACTGCTACAGTGGAAGTGTAGACGTACCTTTCCGTGCCTCCAGCTTAATCTTTTTCACGCCCTGTGCGGGTTCTTCTGCCCTCCATGGATAATAGAGTTGATCAATCTACATCTACTCCAATCTCTGTCCCCACTGTTCCTTCCAGTGACTGCCTGGGTCAACCTCCTCGGGCACCAGCCTCTGGTGTCTGTGCGGGTCCTTCTTTGGCCCCTAAATGCAGGACGATTATTCGATCACGTCCTTAGAGATCTGCCCGCTCATTCAAGGGCAGGATCCATGGAGGTCGGTCGACCTCCATCTAGTGAAGAAAAACGGCGTGGTCATAAACCGAAGGGTTCTCCACCCTCTTCTCCTAAACATACATAAAAATGCCACTTTGATACAGTGGAACTGTCGAGGTTTTCGTTCGAATCTCGATGACATTAAGGCCTTGATTGACTCCTATCATCCCACGTGTCTCTCCTTACAGGAAATATTTCTGAAACCTGCTGATACAGTCACCCTTCAGCAGTTTTCCTTGTACCAGAATGACAGGTTGTGTGATGGGTGGGTACACGGAGGGGTAGCACTGCTGGTCGACCAGCATGTGCCCTCCTTATCCTTGTCCCTCGTTACACCCTTGGAGGCTGTGACCATACGTGTTTCCTTGTGTTGTGCCATCACTGTTTGTTCTCTCTACCTTCTCCTGGGGAGACTTATGATCAATCGGACCTTGATGCTCTTGTTGACCAGTTGCCACCTCCCTTTTTACTTTTGGGAGACTTAAATGGACACAACCCCTTCTGGGGTGGTGCTGATATTGATGGGAGGGGTCGTTCCATAGAGCGCATGCTCTCGGATCACAATCTTTCTCTCTTCAATACTGGAACATACACTTACTTTCATGCACCTAGTCAGTCTTTTACTGCCATTGATCTCTCAATTTGCTCCCCTGCACTTTTCACTCGTTTTTCTTGGATGGTCGACAGCGATCCTCGGGGTAGTGATCACTTTCCCATCATACTGAGAGAGGTTGGACATGGTTGATGCCACCCGACCCGAGTGCCATGGTGGAAGCTGGACCAGGCTGACTGGCCATCTTTCACCTCTCTCTCTGAACTTGATACTGCCTTCGTCTGTCTACCATCAAGAGACGATTGTGTGGTGGCAGTGACTGACTGTATTGTCCAGGCGACTGTTTATTATTTTCCTAAGACCTCGACACGTTTTCCATGGTATCCTCGTCCATGGTGGAGTCCTGTCTGCCAGGAGAAGTGGGGGGCTCAAAAATGGACCTGGGATACCTTTCGACGGTATCCCACTCTTTCTAACTGCATTGTTTATCAGCGGGCAAGTGCCAAAAGGAGTCTTAGATAAAGTTCACTACTAGCATCTTTTCTACCACCAGTTCCAAAACTGTATGGGACAAGATTTGGAGAGTTACTGGGAGGTATGCTTCCCATCCCCTTTCCATCTTGCTCTCCAATGGCCAGGAAGTTGCTGATGTCCAGAGCATTGCTGATGCTCTCGGCCAGAGCTTTTCTCGTGCATCTAGCACTTCTGTATCTTCCCCTGCCTTCTTGGCCATAAAGTGTCGGGCAGAGCGATCGCCTCTTTCTTTTCGGGCCGATTGTTTCTATGATTATAATCACCCCTTTACAGTGGTGGAACTCAAACTTGCTATTCATCAATCTGGCAGTACATTGGTCAGACCTGATGATGTTCATTATGAGATGTTGCACCATCTCTCTCCTGCCTCTCTTGTTATTCTTCTGGTTATTTTTAACTGGATCTGGCAGGAGCATATTTTTCCAGATGCTTGGTGCCAGGCTAATGTCCTCCTATTCTCCAAACCTGGGAAGGATCCCCAGATTCCTTCTAATTATCGTCCCATCGCTTTGACTAGTTGTCTTTGTAAGGTTCTAGAGAGGATGGTTAATGCTCGTCTTGTTTGGTTCCTGGAATCAAATATGATCCTCTCACCCACCCAATGTGGGTTCCATTGACAGCGATCCACCATGGACCATCTGATTTGACTTGAAACGTCAATCAGGGAAGCCTTTCTCAAGAGAGAACATCTTGTTTCTGTGTTCTTTGATCTTGAGAAGGCTTCTGACACTACATGGAGGTACGGATTTTGTAGGACCTCCACTCCTATGGTTTGGGTGGCCATTTACCCATTTTTATCCACAATTTTTTACAGAATAGGCGATTCTAAGTCTGTGTGGGTTCCACTCTTTCCCGTTCCTTTCCACAGTAACTTGGAGTCCCTCAGGGATGTGTCTTGAGTGTCACACTTTTTAGTGTTAAAATTAATGCCATCACTACAAATCTTCCAACTGTTGCAAATTGGCTCTATGCCGACGACTTCCACATCTTGTGCCAGTCGTCGAACATGAGGTTTATTGAGCGACAGCTTCAGACTGCCCTCAATCGGTTGTTGACATGGACCACTGCAAATGGTTTTAAATTCTCTTTTTCTAAAACCGTTTGCATGCATTTTTGCCACCAACGGGGTTTCCACCTTGATCCCAAGTTCTGTCTCGGCGATATAGTCATTTATGTGGTCCCTGAGGCAAAGTTCTTGGGCTTATCTTTGACCGTAAGCTTAGCTT